ACAGAATGCACAATGATATATATACGGGTCGAATTAATGACTGGAGTCCTCACGGTGTTCCCTTGAAAGCACCTAAACTCAAAATTGACATTGTAAATTCTGAACAGAAAAAGATCTGGGTTCCAAAGGTAAATAAGAACGTCTGTCTGTCTTCTATAATTGCTTTGAAATCCACTTCTAATTCTGACTGGTACTTTGATAGTGGATGCTCTCGTCACATGACAGGGATAAAATCCAACTTGGTTGATATTATGCCTGTCTCATCTAGTTCAGTAACTTTTGGTGATGGAGCTAAGAATAAGGTTCTTGGAGTAGGGTGTCTGAATGTTCCTGGTCTGCCTAAACTTAAAAATGTTCTTTTGGTTCAAAACTTGAAGGCAAATCTTCTGAGTATTAGTCAATTGTGTGATCAGGGTCTGTATGTGAACTTTACTAAAACTCAGTGTCGTGTGTCTGATCAAGAAAACAAACATGTTCTTACTGGTACTAGATCTAGGGATAATTGTTATCTAGTGGAGTTTGATTTGAAGTGTAATAAAACCAGTACTGATATGACTGAACTATGGCATCAAAAGTTAGGACACATTAATTATCCTCACTTACTTGAACTTTCTTCTACAGGGGCTGTTCGAGGATTGCCCAAGCTGAAAAGGGAAGTACCACGGGTGTGTGGATCTTGTCAAATGGGCAAACAGAAAAGGGCGTCTCACAAAAGGTTGACTGAGATCAGTACGAACCAGATAATGGAACTGATTCACATGGACTTGATGGGACCGATTCAGGTTGAAAGCTACAGTGGTAAGAAGTATATTCTTGTTTGTGTGGATGATTACTCTAGATTCTCTTGGGTTGATTTCTTAAAAGATAAATTTGATGCTCTTGATGCTTTTAAAAGACTTGTGCTGAAACTTGAGAATGAAAAACGGACCAATCTTGTTGCCATTAGAAGCGATCACGGTAAGGAGTTCGAGAACCGTGGTTTTGAATCCTTTTGCGAATCTCGTGGGATCTTTCATCAGTTTTCTTCTCCAATCACTCCACAGCAGAATGGAGTCGTGGAGCGTAAGAATAGAACTNGAGTTCGAGAACCGTGGTTTTGAACTCTTTTGCGAATCTCGTGGGATCTTTCATCAGTTTTCTTCTCCAATCACTCCACAGCAGAATGAAGTCGTGGAGCGTAAGAATAGAACTCTTCAGGAGATGGCAAGAGTGATGCTTGTCTCCCAGAACATGTCCTTGAGATGGTGGGCCGAGGCGGTAAATACCGCATGCTATATAACTAATCGTGTGTATTGCAGGAAAGGAACCGGGCTGACCTCTTATGAACTGTGGAAAGGTAAAGCACCTAATGTGAAATATTTTCATGTATTTGGATGTCGGTGTTATATTTACAATGACAGAGATCATCTTGGTAAATTTGAGTCTAAAAGTGATGTAGGTCAGTTCCTTGGTTATTCTACTAACAGCCGTGCATTTCGTGTCTATAATTTGCAAACTGAAGTAGTCATGGAATCCATTAATGTGGTTTTTGATGATGTGTCTGAATGTGTTACGATGCCTGATGTGTCTAAACTTGATGTGTCTAATAATGAGGAGGTATCTAAATCTGATTCTGAGAGTGTGTTGAATGAAGTAAAAACTGAAACACTTGATTGTGATGAGCATATTATTGTTAATGAGTATAGTGTTCCTACGAACCTTGGAATTCCGTCTGAACCTAAGCGTGACCCTCCCGCCAAAATTCAGAGGGATCATCCTAAGGACCAGATCATAGGAGGAATCACTGAACGTAATACTAGAGGTGTAAAACCCGACTTTCGGAAAATAGCTGGTGTGTGTCATTTTGCATGTTATGTGTCTAAAGTGGAACCTAAAAATGCCAAAGAGGCCCTGTGTGATGATTTCTGGGTTCTGGCTATGCAGGAAGAACTTGAACAGTTTGTGAGAAACGATGTGTGGGAACTTGTACCTAGACCTTCCGATTCAAACGTCATTGGAACGAAATGGATTTTTAAAAATAAGACGGATGAATCGGGAGAGATCACTAGGAACAAGGCACGCCTCATAGCTCAGGGGTACACCCAAGAGGAAGGTGTTGACTTTGATGAGACATTTGCCCCTGTAGCTCGTCTGGAGTCTGTTAGGATGTTCTTATCCATTGCGTGTTTACTTGGATTTGTGATTTATCAAATGGATGTTAAGTCCGCCTTTTTGAATGGGTTCTTGAAAGAGGTTGCGTATGTTAAGCAACCTGAAGGGTTCGTGGACCCACATCATCCTGACCATGTTTATAGGCTGAAGAAAACCTTGTATGGGCTGAAACAGGCACCGCGAGCCTGGTACGAACGCCTAACTCAGTTTTTGGTTGAGATGGGCTACTCTCGAGGGGGAGTTGATAAAACTCTATTTGTTCGTAAATCTCATAAAGATATTATCATTGCACAGATATATGTAGATGATATAATCTTTGGTTCTACCTCGAGAACTTGGGTAAATGAATTTGTTAGTCACAT